TATATATATATATATATATATATATATATATATATATATATATATATATATATATATATATATATATATATATATATATATATATATATATATATATATATATATATATATTTTTTTTTTTTTTTTTTTTTTTTTACAATGTTTTTTATTTATATATAATATATTAGTTTTCCTCTTAAATATGTTGTTTTTATTATTTTAGTTTTAGTAATTTTAATACATCATTGAACTTAGTCTTGTCTGTCTATCTATCTATCTGTCTGTCTGTCTGTCTGTCTGTCTGTCTGTCTAACGTTCTGTCTGTCTGTCTGTCTGTCGTTCTGTCTGTCTGTCTGTCTGTCGTTCTATCTCTTTTTATATCTGGTTTGTTCTGTAGCCAATTGAAAATTAACAGTTTCTTAAAAGGGTTAATAATATTGACATTAACAGTTTTTACATTTCACATTATTACTTTATTCCAGCCAAACTTATAGAAATTTATAGAATAGACTTTCTGCAGAAGGAAAATATAATAGGAAATACTCTGAAAAATGTCTTTACTTAGTTAAACATCACTTAAGAAATATTTGAAAGTAGTACAAATTTCACAGGGCTAATATTTTTGTCTTCAGCTGTAGATTATGCACATACAGTTGAAGTCAGAATTATTAGCCCACCTTTAAATTTTTTTTATTTTTTTTTTTTACTTTTTTAAATATTTCCCAAATGATGTTTAACAGAGCAAGGAAATCTTCACATCATGTCTGATAATATTTTTTCTACTGGAGAAAGTCTTATTTGTTTTATTTTGGCTAGAATAAAAGCTTTAAACATTTTATGAACCATTTTAAGTTTACAATTATTAGCCTCTTTAACCTTTTTTTTTTTTTTTTTTGACTGTCTACAGAACAAACCATCATTTTACAAAACCTTGCCTAATTACCCTAACCTGCCTAGTTACCCTAATTAACCTAGTTAAGTCAAATCATGTCAAAGATAAAATAAATCAGTTATTAGAAATGAGTTATTAAAACTATTATGTTTAGAAATGTGCTGAAAAAATCTCTCTGTTCAACAGAAATTGGGGAATAAAATAAACAGGGGGCGAATAATTCAGAGGGCTAATAATTCTGACTTCAACAGTATATAGTCAGTCTATAAATACACTTGTATCTACTGGTTTTCCACTCTCTATATAAACCAGTACATATTACTTTGACTTTTACTTCACTGCCTCATTTAAACAGCACATTTGCATTGATTATCATTGTGTGTTTCTCTTCACCCAGAGCTGCAGCTAAAGAGTCCTCTGAGGAAGAGTACGACTCAGGAATCGAAGAGGAAAACTGGACAAGACAAGCCGATGCCGCCAAGAACTAAAAACTACAGACCCGCCCGAGTAAAATCACCACATTTTTTTTAGCTGGTTGCTCAGCTCGGTTTCTCCTAAGGGTCCATTTCTCACTGTAAGCTTGACTTGTGATGATTCGTTCCTCATTTTGAAAACTCTCCCTTCACTTTAAGCAAACCAAGCTTCAACCAGTCGTCCTCCCTAGAGAGATTGCTAACAGTATGTGAAGCGTAAAGATCATTTCATTTTTATCGAAAGCTCTTTTATTGGACAGTGAAGTGGGAAAGTACACTGTATGAAGCAATTAGTTGACTCTACTTAAAAAAAATAAGTGAGTAAACCCATTGTTTTTTATAAAGCAACTGGTGGACATTAATTTAAATCAGTGTTTCTCAACCACGTTCCTGAAGGGCCACCAACACTGCATGTTTTGGATGTCTCCTTTGTCTGTCACACCCATTACAGGTCTTTCAGTCTCTGCTGATGATCTGAATCAAGTATGTTTGGTTAAGGAGACATTGAAAATGTGCAATGCTGGTGATCCTCCAGGAACGTGGTTGAGAAACACTGCTTTAAACACTGAGTTGCCTTTAATTAATTAAAAATTAAGTCAAATCAACAATTCCAAGCTATAACAGGTTTACTCACTTCAAGTAAAGCCAACTTGTCACTTTTAAGGTTATCGCTTGCGTTAAATAACTAATCGCTTTTTACAGTGTTCGATCTTTAAATATACATGTTTGATTTCACTTTCCTTTCTCTTTGCCCTGTCTGGAATAAATCTACACATTGATGTCACGCTGATTATGAATTTATTATACTCTTAGCAGACACTGATAGGAATCCTTATCAAAGATACCTTCACAATGTGACCATAGCAAATCAATTATTGTAGCTGAACTGTGTGTAATAATTAGCATCCCTCTTAATAGATTAATTTAACAAACATCAGTTTATGAACTGACTTCCAATTTGGCTTTTATTATTATTACTATTATTAAAGTGGGATTTTTATTATTAACATTTAAGCTGCTAATGTGTTATTTTGAGGGTCGTTTTAGGACATGGCTTTTGCAATTTGAGCAATATGTGCTATACTATATTTTGGCCCTGCGATGAATGATTTATTTGCATCAATTGCTGTTTAAACAAAGACTTTTGGTCTCTTAT